TAAGATGGGATCAGCGATGGGGAGGGCGGCATCCGCAGTAGATGGATGGGCATGCCGGTTGCGCTGGACTGGGGCATCCTAGCAGGGAACATCGGCGGCAGGGAGGCCATGGCCGATTGCGACGGCGGCGGCGGCGGTGGTGGGCGCGGTGGGGAGGGCAGCGTCTGCTGCGAGGAGAGCTAGGACTGCATTGCGGCCATGGAACAGGACAGCTCGTGGATGGCCGCGGTCATTTGCTCCATAGACATTGTAGAGGACGGAGCGGCCGTCGAAGCGGATGGCAGCAGCTGCGCAGCAGTGGTGATTGGCGGCGGCGGCGGGCTGGTGGAGGTGGAAAGAGGGCCTGACATCTTTGATACCAGATTGATAGGACTAGATGCCCTACCGGAGTTGTTGCGAATGTTGTAGGGATGAAAGAGCGGAGGGCGAGGCTTAGGGAAGCGGCAGCGGGTTGGTGTCGTGGTGATCACAACGCAAGGAGGAAGAGGAGGTGCGGCTAGGGCTCCCAAGGGAAGCCGGCAACAATTATGTTGCTTCTGCTTAATTTCAATCTCAATTGTTTACAGAGTCTTTATCCTCTTTAGGATCCTATAATTAAGGAATAGATACCATAAATAGCTAATAATAATAATATGGGCTCTTAGCCCCTATAGCCGGCGTCCTCCTCTAGCCACTAATGGGCCTGCGCCTATTATAGTAGACGCCGGTCATAAGAGAGGTGTGGAGAACTATCCGCCAACTACCGAGCAATAAAGCACCAGGACTGATGGATTTACGGGTTAGTTCTATCAGACTTGCTGGTCAATTATAAAGCAAGACATTATGAATCCAGTTTCTGCCATTGGCAGCAGAAAATTCAGAAACCTGGAAACTCTTAATATAGCTTATATTACCTTGCTGCCCAAAAGGGATGAGGCAAGGAATGTCAAGGATTTTCGTCCTATAAGCCTGGTGCATAGTTTTGCTAAATTGATCACAAAAAAACTTGCAAATAGGCTGGCTTCTCATCTTGACCAGATGGTCTCAAGTAGTCAAAGTGCCTTCATAAAAAAATCCAGGACAACTTCATGCTTGTCCAACAGACGGCGATGTTTCTCCACCAGCAGAAACAGCCCCGGATTCTCCTTAAACTAGATATCTTGAAAGCTTTTGATTCGGTGTCCTAGCCATTCCTCCTAGAAGTCCTGAGGAAGATGGGTTTTGGTGTTATTTGGTGCGACATCATCAGTGGACTTCTAGCATCTTCATCAACACAGGTGCTACTTAATGGTGTCCCTGGTGAGGTAATTTTTCACAGGCGAGGACTGCGACAAGGTGATCCGTTATCACCTATGCTCTTTATATTGGTGATGGTTGTACTTGCTCATATGGTGGCAAAGGCCTCGACTGAGGGACTTTTGCAACCCCTTGCAACTCGGGCTTTGTCTCATCGTGTTTTATTCCTTCGACCCACTTCCAGTAACATTGATTTAATCCTGGACATTCTCCAACTTTTCGGGGAAGCATCTGGTCTCAAAACCAATTTACAGAAAAGCAATGCTAATCCCATCCAATGCTCAGAGACTGATATTATGGTGCTGCAAGAAAGATTGCCATGTGAAATTCTGGATTTTCCAAGCAAGTATCTTGGTATACCTTTATCTATGCATAAACTAACTAGAGCACAAGTCCAGCCAATAATTGACAGAATTGCAGATTTGTTGCTTGGCTAGAAAGCAGACCTGCTCTCTCGAGCTGGGAGAATAATACTAGTCTAATTTGTACTCGCCTCAACTTTAGTCTATTTGGCAATGGCCTTGGACCTTCCAACATGGGCTCTCAAGGCAATAGATAAAATAAGAAGGGGATTTCTCTGGAGCGGACGCAAAGATGTGAAAGGTGGGCATTGTCTTGTGGCATGGCCCAAGGTCTGCCGACCTCCAGAGCTTGGAGGGCTTAGAATCTATGACTTGCAAAGGCTGGGATGGGCACTTAGAATGAGATGGCTGTGGCTACAGAAAACTGAGCCCAATAAACCATGGTTGGCCTTTCCTATCCAAGTTCATCTTTCAGTAAGAGCTCTCTTCTCCGTGGCAATCATTTCAGAAGTGGGTCATGGTGCTCGCACATTATTCTAGAAGGATAGATGGATCAATGGACAATGAGTAGCTGATCTTGCTCCACAAATTTTTGCCATTATTAACAAGAGAAGAGCTAATAAGAGGACTGTGCTGGAAGCCCTTACTAACTATGGCTGGATTGCGGATATCCAAGGAGCTCTAACTGTGGGAATCATCACTGAATTCTTAGCGCTATGGGATATTCTCTCGGAGGTGACTCTGCAGCTTGGAGTGGAGGATGCTCATGTATGGCGGCTCTCGGCATCAGCCAATATTCGGCAAAATCTGCATATATATATGAGGCCTTCTTCATTGGCTCCACTACATTCAGACCATGGGAGCGTATTTGGAAAACTTGGGCTCCTGGAAAGTGCCGCTTCTTTATGTGTTTGGCAGCACATAACAAATGCTGGACAACAGACAGGCTTGCATGCCGAGGTCTCCCACATCCTACCCGCTGCCCCCACTGCGATCAAGAGGAAGAAACTATCAATCATATGTTAGTATCATGTGTGTTTGCGCGAGAATTTTGGTTTGTTTTGCTACGGAAAGTGGGTTTACAGGCCCTTTCGCCAGAACAAGATGAACCCTCCTTTGATGAATGGTGGGCCAAGGCAGAGTCAAGAATGGATGGTTCACACAAAAAAGAACTCAACTCGCTTATCATCATTGGGGCATGGACAATTTGGAACCATCGCAATCGATGCGTTTTTTATGGTACTCCTCCTAACTTGGCTGGAGCATTGCTGCTCGCAAGTGAGGAACAACATTACTGGAGTCTTGCAAAGGCTCAGGGAAGCTCTTCACTTGAGCCTGTAGATAGCCAGTAGGGTCCTTTTGTGGTGGTGACGTCGTTTTTTGTCTTAGTAAAAGGCGCGTGTGTTTTTCTAAGAGATTAGGAGTGTGGGTGTGTGTTGTAAGGGCTCTTGCCCCTTTTTTCTTCTTAATACAAAGATACGCAGCTCTCCTGCGTGTTCGAGAAAAAAAAAGTTTTCTTTGGAGATATTCAGGGTGATGGACCTCCTGTTTGCTCCTGCGATATCACAAAATAAGTTACCAAGGGGTATAATTCTTGAGTATCAAATAGAAAACTCCCCTAAAATATAATTTTTCTCCTCACCATTATATAATTTGTTTCCTCTTTGAATGACAAATATTTTACCTTTCACTGAATCTCAAAATTTGAACCGGCGAAAAATCTCCTTCCTCAGGCCTTATAGAACAAATGCCTCCAAGTATACCACAATATTTTCAAGTTGTCCAGTCGAACCTAGTCGTCATGGGACCGACTAGGACGATTAATCATGATTAATCATGATTAATCATGATTAATCGAATGACTTGTACAAGTCGACGGTACCCCTAATCAGTCAGCAGGGACCGATTAGGACGATTAATCGTGATTAATCGCGATTAATCAGACGACTTGAAAACATTGGTATACCATCCCCTTCAAACATACTAGAGCAAATTTCCTCAGTCCAGGTGACAATGGATTAGCATCCAAATCCATATGGATAAATCCAATTAAAATCCAAGGAAAAAGAATCCAAATCCAAACCTACCCTAATACGAAATGATTAATGTCAAAAAGAATCCAAATCCAAACCTACCCTAATACGAAATGATTAATGTCAAGTCCAATCCAATACAATTGCTCTTAAGTCCAAATCCATCTAGTATGATCCAATAATAACAAAACCATTATAACTACATGTTCATTCTATGTCAAAAGCTGGACCTTAGAATTTAAAAGCTCACGTCCACACATTAAAATTTAAAATTGATTTAAGTTTGTTAGAAATGAGTTAGTACGATTTTAGACTGGTGTTAGTAGATATATACAAGGCCTCACGTCGAAAGCTGGACCTAGAATTAATACCTCGTGTTCATACCTTAAAATTTTAGTGAATTTGACTAAAGTTTGTTGGAGATAATTCAGTATGATTGCCCGCTACTTTGTGTAGATCGGTGCGACTAGGTATATAAGTGGGCCCCACGTCAAAAGCTGGACACCAGTAGACTTAAAAACCTCGCATTCACACCTTAAAACTTTAGCAAAATCGACTAAATATTTTTGGAAATGACTTGATACGATTGCCCGCTACTTTGTGTAGACCGGTTTGACAAGTGGTTTTGTTAGGATATGACTTGATCACTAGCACCAATAATTGTGGTGAATCTCAAATTAGAACACATTCATGACATTAAGATAATAAATGTGCTGAATTGCATATCAAATGTTTTTGGAGAGTTGGACCTAGTAAAATATCATATGATAACTAATCACTTCATATGTAAGGAATTATACCATGCTATCATAGCAAATCACAAAATCATGAGGTAGTTGCAAAAATACAGAACTCGCTAAAGAACTACTAACTAAAGAACTGGCCATCATACATGTGTAGATGCAAAAATACAGAACTGCCTAGGAAACAAATATATATTGGGATGAAAATATCAGATAGATAAATTTGAAATAGACACCTAAAGACACTACACAGCAGCTGTTGTTGCATAATGCATTAGTCTTCTTTTTTTTCCTCTCCAATGCATAATGTATAAGTCCTGAACTCCTGATATCGGGTTTTCTTCTTCCTTTTGACATATGAAGTCAGGCCAGATTGCATAGTTAAACAATTACCTTAAAAAAGGGCGTACCCAGTGCAGAGAGCTCCCGCTCTGTACGGGGTCTAGGGAAGGGTGTTAGTGGCAAGCCTTACCCTCGCCTGTGCAATGCGAGGAGACCGCGACTCGAACCCGGGACCTTCCGGTCACATGCGGTAAGACTACCGCTTGCACCAGGCCTATGGAAAAAAAAATCCAGAAATGAATGCTATGTTCCATTGCCATCCTCATCAAGTTGTTGTGCAAATAGTATTGCAGGAAAGCACAGAGTCACCAATAATCCCCACAGGAACATTTTCCACCCCTAAAGTGATGGAACCTGTTGGTATCTCTAACAGATATCTCCCTCCCCTCAAAAGATGATATAAATTTCATTGCCTCATGGCAGTCGCCACAAATTCGGAGGTTCTTTATCACCCGAAGGGTTGTGTCTGGGCTAGTGCTTATGAGTCCCAAAGCGACAGCTAGCTTCTCACTGTGAACAGCAAGGATATCATCTTTCTCTTGTTCCTCCACATCATGTAGGACAAAATCTGTGCTTGGCACAAAGCCTAGCTTCCTCATCTCAACATTAAGCTGCTTTAGTTTCTCAATTATCGCAGTCATCATAGGGTGTGAATCATCACCAGCCAACAACATATGCACCTTGTTCTTGATCTCGATCCAGCTACAGCCCTTTTCCTTCTTCAAGCCTACATCCTTCATCATCTCTCTAACCCTATTAACCCCATCCCACATTTTCTTATAAGCATAAATGTTAGAAAGCAGGACATAATTACCAGCATTTTCTGGCTCTAGACGAAAGAGCTTTTCTGCTGCAACCTCAGCCAGATCCACATTGCCATGAACGCGGCAAGAGCCTAATAACGAACCCCAAATACATCCATCTGGCTCAAATGGCATATCACTTATGAGATCATATGCCTCGTCAAGCTTGCCAGCACGTCCTAGAAGAGTAACCATACATGCATAATGTTCCATCCTCGGAGAAACACCATATTCAGCATGCATTTCTTTGAAATAGTGACGCCCTTCCTCTGTCAGGCCGGCTTGGGTACAAGCAGCAAGCACGCAGGTGAAGGTGACCATGTCAGGCTTCTGTTTGCACACCAGCATTGAGTGAAACAACCGAACTGCATTCACAGCCTCTCCATGCATAGCATAGCCACCGATCATCGCATTCCATGACACCACATTCCGAGATGACATTGCGTCAAATATTATTCTCGCATCCTTAACCCTGCCGCACTTTGCATACATGTCCACCAACGCACTGCTCACATAAACATCATGCAGAAAGCCCTTCCTGAGAGCAAAACTGTGCGCTGACCTCCCATGCGTCAGAGCTGCAACATTGGCAAACGCTGGCAGCACACAAGGGATCGTGACAGAGTTTGGTTCAATCCCTTGTGCCTGCATCTCCCTGAAAAGTTCCACAGCCTCCAAATCCTTACCGTTCTGCACACAACAAGCAACAATCGAGGTCCAGGACACGACATTCAGCTCAAGTCCCCAGCTAACAAACTCCCTGAACATCCTTAGTGCCTCAGAGACTTGCGTGTTCCGAGATAGCCCCGCGATGAGGGCATTGCAAGAAGCAACATCCACGTGGCTAGACTCATCAAACACCCGGACAATCTCCGCGGCCCGCCCGCACTTTCCATACATATCGATGAGGGCGGTGACCACACAGGCGTCCACCCTGCAACCTGCCTTCACTGCGTATCCGTGCAGCTGTTCGCCCACCGAAACCAAACCCACGTAGCCAAGGGCAGAGAGCGCGCACGAGACGCCCGTGGCATCAGGACGCAGGAGCCCTTCCCCGTGCATCCTCACGAGCGCCACGACCGCGTCCCGGGCACGCCCGCTGCGGTTGAGCCCAGACACGAGCCCGTTCCAGGTGATGACGTTCGGCTCCACGCCGCCGTCCCGCCGCATCTCCTCGAGTAGGCGCCAGGCGCCCTCGGCTTCCCCGCGCGCCGCGTGCGCCGCGACCAGCGCGCTCCAACCGACGACGGTCCTCTGCGGGCGCGGCATTCCGTCGAACACGGCGCGGGCGTTGGCCGTGGTGCCGAGGCGAAGGTAGGCATGAAGGAGCGAGGAGGCGACGAAGGGGTCCCGCACGAGGCCGGTGACCTCGGCGGCGGCGTGGAGAGCGCGGGCGAGCGGCAACGTCGGGCATGACTTGAACGCGGTGGGGAGGAGGTGCGGGTCCGGAGGGATGGAAACATGCCGGAGGAAGTGGTGGAGGGGGCTGGAATGGGACATGCCCACTCGCCTATACTCTGCACATTCGTGGACGCCGGAGGTTGAAATATGGCCATATGGGACATGCCCACAGCACCGATTGTTTTGCTTGACTTCCTGCTTCGATGCTCGAGAAAGAATGTTTGGTAGGCTATGTAGGACAACGGTGAAACGATCCTCACCGCAATACTCATTCCGTTCAAAATAAATTACATTTCTTGCTATGTACTTGGACAAAATTATTTCAGAACGCCTAGCGTCCGGACGGGATATCCGTTCAAATGCGGCTCCGACACCTACGCTGCTCCCGCGTCCGCATTCCGCCCCATGCTCCGTGTCCCGCGTCCCGCACCAGCACCCGCGCTCGCGTCCATCGTAGGGACCCGCGCCCCCGCGCCCACCCTGCGCCCCTCCCGGGGGAACCCACGTTGGTTGATCTACGGCTGCGCCCTAGCAGCAGCGACAGCCACCGGCCGCACCGTGCAACAAACAAGATGAAAACTTTGTAACATACGTCTAAAACAGATGAAACATTTAAAACATACAGTTGAAACACCATTGCAACATGTGCAACATCTCAATCTACTTTTGAAACATCCAGATGCAACACTTGCAATAAACAAAAGAAGACAGATGAAACACTTGAGACATGCGTCTGAAACACTTGCAAGATACATGTACAAAAAATGGATGAAACATTGAGGATAGACGCCTGCAACATACGTGTGCAACCATTGTAACATATGCAACATCTCGATCTACGTTTGCAACATCCGCATGAAACAATTGAAACATGCATCTGAAACGACTAAAACACTTAAAACATGGGCTTGCAACATGTCTGAAAAACCGTCCAGAAACACTTGAAACACAACATCGATCGTCGCGCGGCCATGACCTACCTGGTGAGCAACTTCGGTGGCGTAGGCTCGCTGGATGGTGCACGCCCGCCATGCCCGCCGTCGGCCGAGGGGGAGGAGACACTGCCGGATCTAGGGAGGGCACCGCCGGCCGGGGTAGGGAAGGGTCAACGGCTTACTTGGATCTCGCCGGGGTGGGGGGAGGGGCACCACTCGGGATAGGGGAGGAGGACGCCGGGGTGGGGGAGTGCGCCGCTGCCGCCCAGGGAGGCAACCATGGCCACGTGTCGGGGTAGGCGCGGGGCGCGAGCGCACTAGGTGCGGGAGTGAGCGAGTGAGGCATCCGTCCGTTCCGGACGTCTTAACTGCAGCATTATCAAAATTATTTCTATAGTACTCCCTCCGTTCTAAATTATAAGATATTTTAGCTTTTCTACTAGATGTATTATTTAGCTATATATCTACACATATTATATCTATGTGCATAACAAAAGCTAAGTCAAAGCATTTTATAATTTGAAATGAAGTGAATAGCTTTTAACAAGGAGAAGAACCCTTATTTCTATAGTAGCTTAAAATTTGTTCAATATAATGTTGGGTCAATTTTTATTGGTAGAACAATTTTGTTCTTGGATGCAACAATTTTTCTTGGTTAATGGACCATCTTGATAGAAGTTGCATCTTGACAGATGCAAAATATGAGGGCGATGGTGATGAACGCATGTTCTCTTCGAGCTAGGTTCCATCTACGGTCTTGTTTGGATGCGCATCATCTCAATCCATATGTGTTAAAGTGGATTAGAGTGGAATTAAACTAAACTCTGTTTTAATCCACTCCAATACATGTGGATTAAAGTGAATACACATGCATCCAAACAAGGCCTGCCGTGGGTATTTTTCCTCAAATATCAATCACTGAATTGAGTGTCAGTTGTTCAGCTTTATGCTGTCGATATCAAAATGTTCGTTTTTTAAGTCAGGTGTTTTGTGACGATAAACGGAACAATTTATATAAATCAGCGAACTTATCAAGTATGGTATAGTGTTTTTCTCTCATAATAAATCAATGAATAATACTTTTCAGCCTGGCTTTTTAGTGAAGTGAACGAGTCCCCTCGATGGCAAGAAGTAGTAAGGTGGCCATCGCATAGCCCAACTCAGTTTCTCGGCACGTGACTAGTTCACTTTATCTCGCACAGACCTGCACCCTCATGACCTTACTTCAATTCCCCATTTACCGAGAGCCACTACCACTAGCTTCCTCCTTTCTTCCTCCAAACCCTAACCCTATCCCGACAACTCTATGCTTGGCAGAGACGCATTAGCGGTGCCGTGTCAACAAGTGCATTAACTAGTTCATCGATGGCAAGGCGGTGCATTCGGTTGAGCCTCAAGCCTTGGCGGTGACTCGACGATGACGCTTTTTTAGCGTGTGGGGAACAGCACTGCCAGAATAGTGACACAACGGCAGCATGGCACATCCAACAGCAAGACTTAGTGACGACTAGGCGACAACGCTGTACGTGGCGAGCAAGGGGACCACCAGTGGAGGATGCGAGCAACTTTAGTGCAACTGAAAAAACAAACCGAGGAAGGTGACACCGAATTAGGAGACTTTTGGTTTTATAAAAAAACCATTCGCTTGTAGAAGTGCATGAAACGAAGTAATAAAATGAATCAACCTATGAGTTTAAACAAATTGCCTAGCCCTAGTTACCTCTTCTTAGGCCATCTCCAATGAGTGTAGGAAAATGACTCAGAATGAGTTAGCATCTCATGATTCTATTCTTTTCGCCAGAGGATGTCAATGCATAGAGGGGAGGAGAGGAGAGTCTATATAAAGATGTGCATCGATTCACATACCGTGTGTTTAGTTTGAGGGTTTGTAAGTGCAATCAAGCCCTATTGTGGGTTTTGGTATTGATGACCACCAAATTAGATGACTAATGAGATTTATCGAGATGACAAGCAGGGAATCAAAGAATGAGAATGATGAATAGGTTGCAGGTGTTCTAATTACAAAAGGTGGCCAGACCTAACTCAAGGGAGGTTTAAATTCTTTTATGTTTTGAATTTGAGTTTAGGAAAAGCCGTACTATCAAGAGGGATTTTAGGACAGTTGGTCAATTGTTGAATCAGATGCTCCAATTCACAGATTTACATCCTTCCACCTAGTCAAAACAGTCAGCCAAATTTCATATCATATTACCTGTTTTGGCAAGGGCGGCAGTGCCGCCCTATTAAGAGTGGCAGTGCCGCCCTTAACTGACCGTTGGGCTCGGGGGGTATTTATACCCTTCAGGCCCGGCCCACAACGGTCATCTTCTCCACTGACTCACTCTGCTCGAAAACAGATAGAACCAAAGCTCACCCCTCTCCTCCATTGTTGCTCCTTGATCCCTCAAGCTAATCCTTGATTCCAACCATCAAAACTCAAGAGAAAAGGCAGCAAAACTCGATTGGAGAGGAGATCCACTGATTCCCAAAGTCTAAGAGCATTTGGTTCACGTTTGGTCGGTGGTTCTAGGGTTTGTTACTCTTAGAGCTTGCCCCTAGCCGGCTAGGCATCGCCCTTGTGCTTGCCAACTCATGTGGCAGCCTTGAGAGGTTTGTAACCTCATTTGAAAGCTAAGAAATCACCCCTCACTTTAAGAGTTCACTCTCTTGATTTGAGAACGAGGGTAAAGCAAGCCTTTGTGGCAAGCTCAAGCCTTTTGTGGCTTCCTCAACAACGTGGACTTAGGCAAACCTAGTGGTGAGCTGAACCATGGGATAAATCTTGTGTCTCGCGTGCTTCCTCTTCACTATACTTGCTATTTACATTAATGCTAGCTGTTGTTAGGGTTTAGTTGCTCGATTCACTTTTGTGTGAAGTTTCTATGGTATCCAGTCTTCGAACTGGATCTTGACTCTATATTGCAGGATTAAGCAGCTAGTGGGGTCAGGTTCATCTCTGTTAAATCTCAACTATGTTAGATTATTCTTCGTAGAGCGGTAGTGCCGCCCTGTAAGGCCAATAGTGCCGCCCTCTGTTCTAACAGAGTTTCTAGTTGAATTTTTACAGGCCTATTCACTCTCCCCCTCTAGGCCTTCTTTATCTTTCAGTAGATCCTACAAGTGGTATCAGAGCGAGGTTGCTTCGTATACGCTTCACCGCGTGAAGTATGGAAGAAGGAGAAGGTTCGAAGTCCATTCGCGTTGCGGAAGCAAGTGGTGTGCACGTTGAGGAGGTCGGTAGCAGCAGTGAGCTGTCCATGTCCATAGCAAGTGATGCCACCAACAAAGAACCCAAGACCACCGATGCCGAAAGAAGAAAGGCAAGAAAAGAAAGAAAAGCCGCCAAGATCGCAACAAGAGAAGCTAGAGAAAAGAAGAAGGAAGAGCAGCGGCTCAAAGACAAGAAGAAGAGAAAAGAAGCTAGAAGAATCATAAGAGAGGCAAGAGCTAAGAGAAGGGCAGCAAGAGCTAAAGAGCAAGAGAAGAATGAGTATGATGCATCATCTAGTGAGCTCTCTAGTAGCTCGGACGATGGAGATGATGTTGTGTCATACCATGCTTCAAAAGATAGCAAGGAGGTGAAGAGCAAGGACAAATAGAAGGATTGCAAGGACAAGGGCAGCAACAACAACAAAAACAAATATGCCGCCGTATCCTTTAATTATTCTTATTTGTCTAACCATAACAAAAGGTCTTTTGTGAATGTGCCCACGGGCAAGTTGCCTCATTTTGATGGGACAAACTTTGCCAAGTGGAAGCACTTGATGAGTGCCTATCTTGTAGGTCTTCACCCCGGTCTTTGGGAGATTGTGGTGAATGGATTGCAGCCACCAGAAGATCCCGAAGCACTAACAAATGAAGAGCTAGCTGCTATCCATCTCAATGGCCAAGTCACAAGTATTCTTCTTAGTGCCTTGGATGGAAATGAGTACAACCGAGTGATGAATGTTAATGTTGCAAAATAGATTTAGGACACTTTGCATCTAGCACATGAAGGTGTTGATAAAGTAAGGAAGGCAAAGATTGATTTGTTGATGGCCAAGCTCAATAGATTTGTGATTGTTGATGGAGAGGGGCCACAAGAGATGTTTGATAGATTGATGACCTTGGTGTGCAAGATTAGAGGCTATGGATGTGATGAGCTTGATGATCACAAAGTGGTGA